ACATTTTCTCATATATTCAGTATAATTTGTGATGTAGCTCTTTTCCGTCGTTTTAAACCAGTAAGATCGGAACCTTTACATTCCTTCCAGTTCAATTTTCAAATAAAGGAAATGATGCAATCAACATCAGCAACGTTCTTCATCACAAAGAGGTAACATCTAAAATTCCACTTTATATTCAAAATCAGTCTGTTCCTATTGTATCCTACAGTTACACCAAAACCATTGCACCTAAAGCATTTAACTATAAGCAAGCATTGTAGGACCTTGATTTAGAATAATACCTAAAAAACCCTCTGACATGTGACTGTTCGCACTCTACTACAGACCTTCTGGCCATGTTATTACTGGGGATCAAAACATCATACTACACGAACATCTCCGAAAGGTAATATATCATGGTCCAGAGAACCCCAACACATCAATTGGAACCATAACTTCAAAATAATTATAGATTCAATTGAGGACTACGCCAGAGCATGGGCTTAAAGAGAGGAAGTTGAACTGAACACTTTGTCAAAAAGTATCAAAACAATCAGGTCTCTCATAAAACGTCGAAGTTAAAGTTGAAAAACTGTGTGAATAATCAACCAAAGTCCTTTTTCAGAGTCAAAGAAGCTGTGAAATGTCTATCATCTCTTCACGATAAATATGTTGTTGTTCTTGCGGACAAAGTTTTAAATTATATTGTTTTTATATGTAAATCGTACTACTCAGGTAATCCCACAAACAAAAACATATTAATTGACAAGGATGAGATATTTGCGAATCATAAGTCCTTCATGGCTTTAATGAACACTACATTGAACAGCAAATCTGAGGACTTACCTTGTTTGTATTGGATACCTAAGCTTCACAAAATTCCGTACAAACTGCGGCACATTTCCGGCTCATCTGCTTGTTCTACAAATGATTGACAAAAACTCTGTCCGCAGTGAAAGACAGTCTTCAGAAATACTGTGAAACTGTTTACTCGCGTAGTGGTATTAACCATATGTGGATTCTAGAAAACTCTAAAGAACTTCTGGATAATTATAAATCTCGATCTTTCTCTGACATTAATTCTATCAAAACTTTTGATTTTTCAACCGTGTATACCACCATTCCCCATGTGAAACTGAAAAATCGTCTAAAAGAAATAATCCACAATGCTCTTCAATATAAAAATGGTAGCATACGCTATAAAGTTATCACTTTGGGATACCATACGGCATATTTTGTTAATAGCGAACAAAAATGTAAAACATGCTACAGAGAGGAACAAGTGATCAGTATGCTGGAGTTTCTTATTGACAACATATTTGTTGAATCTGGAGGTAGACTTTTTCAAATTGTCGGCATTCCTATGCGAACAAACTGTGGCTCTCCTTGCCGACCTCTTTTTATTTTCATATGAGTCGGAGTTCCTTCCGACACTTGTAAAAAACAAGAAGATTAAAGAAGCAAGATCATTTAATTTCACATTTAGATATATTGATAATGTTCTTTCCATAAAAAATCCAAACTTTTCTGATTGGGTTCCATTAATATATCCCCCAGAACTAGAAATTAAAGTAAAAAAGAGAAACCGCCTACTCCACCTCATTTTAGACGTATACCTCGAATTTGACATAAACGGTCATCTCAGTACCCGAATCTATGACAAACGAGACGTTTTTTAATTTTAAAATTATCAATTTCCCCCACCTTAGTAGCAATATATCAACTTCATCTGCATATGGGATATACATTTCCCAACTCATCTGGTATTCAAGAGCTTGCAGCTGCTACTCAGATTTAATAAAACGTCACCTTTGTCTGAGCAGAAAGTTGATGAACCAGGGTTGTCTCAAAGAACGTCTCGTCCTTTTTCTAAAAAGGTTAATCGGAAGATACCAAGATCTATTTGATAAATATTCGGTATCAACTTCACAAATAATACATGATTGTCTTGAAGTATAGATTCTAGGTACTGACGTTTTTTATCATCTTAATTTTGTGTTATAGTGTTCTTTTATTTGTCTTATTAACTTTTACTATAAAGTCCATTTTTGATGATATCCGTTTGGCGTGTCTCGGTACTTATGCATCCCGCCAACGTGTTGTTGTGCTGTGGTCGTTTTTTGAATTCTTGTCTTTCATTTTTACTTATGTGCTTTGTATATATGGCATTTTGTTTTTCTTTGTTGATATATGTGTTTGTTTGTTTGGTCATTAAGATTATAACACGATGTTGACTGCTGTACCCCTATTTTTGACATCTTTACCTATTATGTCTTTTTGTTTTGCTCACACATTGTTGTCAATATAATGGAATTTTATGCGACTGTCATACATGTGAGAGGTTTGGCTAGTTATAAAACCAGGTTTAATCCACCATTTTCTACATAAGGGAATGCCTGTACCAAGTCAGGAATATACCAGTTGTTTTCCATTCGTTTGATGTGTTTGAGCTTTGGTTTTGTCATTTGATAAGGAATTTTCTGATTTGAATTTTCCTTGGAGTTCGGTATTTTTGTTATTTTACTTTTTAAATGAATGAAAACTTATTTTTGGAATATAATTTTTTAAAATCTTTTTCATCAAGAATATATCACCGAATGTACATGTATTTGGAAGATAAAACAAAAATCTAAAGTTGACTTATTGCCTGAAATGATGTTCGGTTATTAGTTGAATAATCTTCATCAGATTTCAGGAAATAAGCTTAATGTTTGAAAATTTCAGGCCACAGATTAATGCCTAGGCGTTAGCTTATTGCCCAGGATTTAAGCTTAATGCTTAATTTCACTTATTGCCGCTAACACATATATATCAACGAAATAAGATTAAAAGGAAGAAAAACTAATACAACATTATTGTTATAAAGAATCAATAATTGTATATTCAACCAATGAATAACTTGATATTTCAATATTTCAAATACTCGGCTTTGTGCGTTCCTAATAAGGGTAAATGCAGAAAACCCCTTCGGCGCGTGAAATTTATAAAAATGCTGTTTGATTTTTTATCAATTGTTTGACAACTTACTAGATCGTAGTCTTGGAAACATCTGTATACCTGCAGAACGTATTGGAATTTTCACTAGCCGATAACTTCCCATAATGTTGAGCCATATACCTCAATATCTTGTTTTAGAAATTTCGTTATCATATAGTTACTCAAGATATGAATGTTTTTGTATGTTTAATACGACGAGATTTAGGCAATTCATATCATTTCTGGATTTGATAATGTTAGCCATATTTTACACCAGGCTGGCATGGATTCCGTATTACAAGGGGCACAATATGACAAAATAAAAAAAAACGACCTTTCATTTTTCAAAACAATTATCAATCCCAGTCTTATTGTAAGACCGAAAATTCCGGAGAATGATTGTTTGTTTCCGTATCCGTCGTCTCCGTAAAAAACTTCAATAAACAGAGATTTGGAAATGAAGAGGACACATCTGCGTTTGTCGAGCTTATGAAAAGAAAAGACAACTAGGAAATACTATGACTTGAAACTAATTTAAAACTTCTTCGTGAGTATTGGGGGATCACAAAACCGGATGACAATGCACCAGTAGAACTTGATCTTTGTATATCATGGTTTTTCCTAAACTTTAGAAAAACTGATGGTGCGAATAACGAACCCGATACACTACATGTGAACCAGGCAAGCTAACACAATTACCTGTTAAAAAAAGATACGGAAATTCTTTTTGAAATGACATTGCATTTGATTTTTAAATACGCTTTAGCTACAAGATGTAGGGTATTGAATGCGCAGGGAACAATTATAACTCAGAACTCGAGGAGAAACAACGATATAGCAAAAAAATGATGTAATGAAAGAGCTTTAGATTCGTGATGTACATGTTTTTGTTTTCGATATTTCATCACCTTTATTTCATGTTTCAAGAAAAGATCAACATATTGTTTTTAAATTTCAATGTAACAAGCTTATACTGCAAAAATATTCATGTGCTTTCTTTAAGCAAATTGCCAAGAGCAATTGCCTATATGGCCGCATTCAAATTCGACTATAGAAGATAGTGCAACTAACAATCTACGTATTCATCCGGGATATCACCCATAGTTGTTCATCTGTGTAAACGTTGTTTTTATACTTATACATGATGTTCGAAGTTGTCATTTTCCCCAAATCGATTTTTTAAATTTGCACATGAGTGCCTTGCGGTACTCTTTTATTCGAAGGACATATACGACATGTTCTATAATTGGATTAATCAAAGAGACTATGTTTGTAAAATGTTTAAATCGCTGTAGATCTATGTCATTGTTACTAGCTAATATAATGTTCGTCATAACAGAAAGTAAGACAACTACTGTAAGTACCATTATCAGTATACCTAGCGTGATAATTGATCGCTTCCATTATTTCATGTGATTTGACAAGTTTGAAATTTCGGCTGATGCATCTTGATGGTAAACAGTGGTCAATTTATTTTTCAATCTGAATATTACGATGCCATAGAAAACAACGATAAATATATGTGTAAATAGTCTACAGGTGGCCATGGAGAGTTGATATATCCAGTAGTTATCTGTGAAAAGTTTGCATGATGTTGATTCTGGTTTGCCATATAAACCAAAAATATTACCATTGTAAGTAGCAATCAATACAAAAGTGCCTATATACGAGAAAGTAAGTCTCTTTCTCCAATTGCTCATTTTTCGTATAGAACGGATGGCGAGGAATGTCTCAATACAGATAAAAAAAGACTTGCACAAGAGAGAATGTATGTGCTGTCGATGAAATTAAATCTAAAACGAAACAAATACATTGGGTATAAATATTCTGCAGTAAATTCAGATATGTATAAACTCCAGTCAGAATAACGGATATACTAGCTATGATGTAACCAATGCTAAGACATAACGTGAGGCACTTACATTTCTGCTTCCGTGATTCTTTTGATTTAATGAGGACGACAATAGCAAGTAGATTTAAATCCAATGTAACTTTCATTGCGAAGACGAAATTTTACACTTTCCAAATGTTCAACATTGACATATATAACAGAAACTTTTTTAAAAAGTAAAATTATAACATAATAACATGCATATGAAAAAAAAATAATCACTGTCAGATGTGTGAAAAAGATATTTCTACACATACAAAAAAAAAACCAAAAAAAAACGATAACATGTTCGTTTGTACTCGTTTCCGGATAAAAGCAAACAAAAATGGTCTTATGAATCTGGTTTCCCTATTTTGTTTTTTTATGAAATTTTCCCAAAATATCAATGAGAATTTGGAATTTTGCTAATTCTGATTGATGATTTATGATTATCAAGGGAATTCCCATAAATCTATGCTTCTTCCGCGAGTAATAGTGAATCCACATTAGTTTGAAATGATACGAAATCAGTAATGAACGTTAGCCTTGCAGAACTCAATCAAATGAGTGTTCAATGTTATTCCTAGTCTTCCGTCAGGATGACATGTCTAATATTACGTAGTCTGTTGAGTCGTATCCATCTTGCTACGCACATGACACATACAGCAATAGCAAATATCCCTACAAACACTACTCCTATGATACTAACGTGGATCTTTTGTTTCTGTTCCTCTTGGTTTTCTGTAAAAAAAGATAACTTTTTTAGAAAATTGCTATTTCATATGAATCGATGAACATGTGAGGTACTTGTCATTAAAAAGCATTAAAACAATGCATCTATTATATCGTTCCTAGCAACACAAATATAAATATACCACGACAGTCTTTAAATAAAGGCGGCAGCAGTGTACTGATTATTAAAAAAAAACAAATCAAATTTACAAACATAAACTGAGGGAATCACATTAAGTCCAAAAGCAGCGAGACCAGCTGCGCCGACAAGGTTACCGTCTCACTTGTTACATTTATTTGTATGTTTAATTGATTTTGTTTTTTTTTTGTTTTTTTCGTCAGTTGTGTTGTATGTCTGTGAAGTATGTTAACACAGTTTTGACTGCTGAATCCTAAATATTGTCACATTAACCTATTATTTCTGTTTAGTTTGCTCACCCAATTTTGTCAACATAAAGGAACTGCAAACTAGTGGTAGGTTTAGCTATCTATAAAAACAGGTTTAACAGACCATTTTCTTCGGAAAATGTCGGTACCAAGTCAGGAGTATTGGAGTTCTTCAGTATTTTCGTTATACTTTTAGATACAACTAATTGATGATTCGGACCAATGCAATGATTGCAAACTCATAATCCCTCATGGACGGGTTATGAATAAAATTATCAGTGAAGATAGTAGTTCGGCAAACAATTCCGTTCAAAGTAGTTTCAACCTGGACGGAATATTGGTCAGAACATGGGATCATCATCGGAAGCAAATGAAAACAGTTTCAGATAAAGTATTTTATTTTCAAATACAAAATGAAATTCGTGTTATAGTGTTCTTTTATTTGTCTTTATGAATACTACTTGTACTGTCTAGTCTATTGTTGGTGATATCCATTTGACGTGGCTCTATTCTTCTACATCCGGTCATTGTTTTATTGTGCTATGGTTAATTTTTGTATTCTTGTCTTTCGTTTTTGCTAATGTGCTTTGTCTATATGCCTTTTTGTGTTTCTTTTTTTTCATATTTGTTTGTTTTATAGTGATTAAGAGATTATAACACAATGTTGTTGACTGATGTACCCCTATTTTTGACATTTTTACGTATTATGTCTGTTTGTTTTGTTCACACATTGTTGTCAATGTAATGTAATTTTATGCGACTGTCATACAAGTGAGAGGTTTAGCTAGCTATAAAACCAGGTTTAATCCACCATTTTCTACATAAGAAAATGCCTGTACCAAGTCAGGAATATGACAGTTGTTATCCATTTGTTTGATGTGTTTGAGCTTTTGATTTTGCCATTTGATTACGGACTTTTCGTTTTGGATTTTCCTAGGAGTTCGGTTTTTTTGTTATTTAACTTTTTCTTAGTATTTTGAGGAATTGTCTCATCATCATAGTCCTCTATGACCCTAGAACAAAACCATTACATCGGTTCCTATTCAAATTTTAACTAGGCTGTCATTCGTTTCAATTAATTGGTTAAAGTTGGACTGAAGCATCTTTCAACATAGTTTGATTACACAATGGAATACTTTTTTTTTTTAATTCATTTCATTTTTTTAATTTATTTTCTGAGGGGCTCCTTTATATCCTCTTTTTTCCTTCTTTTTCCTAGAAAGAGCCGTACAAACGACACCCAAGTGATCGATCAAAAAATTCATTTCGATATATTACGAAGAAATAAAGTTCAGGTAAATGAACAGTTACTGTGCATATGGCATGACTTATCAAGTTTAATTAATACAACTGTATACGAACTTTCCTGCAAAAGCGTAAAATTTCAAGTTTATTTGTTTTTTTATTTGTAAGTAAATAATTAACGATATGTGAATTACTAACGTAAGCACAAATTTTAACAGCGCAATCCTTGTTAAACAATTTGCCTCATTTGCTATATTTTTTTGTCTTTTTTATTCATGTATCTCCTTTTTTTTATTCGTTAATCGTTTTATATATTGCCTCGTTGATCCTTTTTTGATATCCGTTTAGTGTCTTTCGCCTCTCTTTTTTAATATCTAACACATAAAATTTCACTTTTATAAAATTAACTGGTTATCCAAAACAAATAATTTAAAAGCAGAAGCAAATAACATAATACCGAATGTCTATAGAATCAAAAGTCGTTCTTTTATTGCACTTCGTAACGAGACCAATAAAATAAATCTTTGTCAGTAGTAATCCGTCAAATACTAGTATGTATAATATGCCTTAGAGAGTCCCGTTGTTGACAAGGAAGTGGAAATCCCGATATTTAATTCACAAATTACCTGCGACATTTTGAAATTATTTGTTCTTGCTTTAATAGTTTAATTTGTAAACGTTAACGCTACAATTTTCATACATATGTCCTTTGTTATATAACAGCTATTAAATCAGCAATTTCAGATAATATATATAGATAAAATATGAGGAGTTAAACTATGTTACTTATAAAAAAATTACTTTTTAAACAATCAATGTCGCTTATGTAATGTAAAAATCGTTTGACCTTAATTCACAAACAAACAATACATAAAAAAGGTAGATTTTTCCAAGTGGGTGCACTCTGATGAAGAGTTAGTGAACTATGTTAGATTTAGCAGACAACTAGCCTTTCAAAAGCCGCCAAAGACTTCCTTAATGACTTGTCGTAAGGTAACCTTAACACGATATTTTTAGAATGACTTAATTGAGTATGTTTACACTTCATGCACTTAGCACAGTGAATTAGTATATTTGGCGGACAGGCGCAATTACCCAGTCAGCCCTTGAAACGAGCATTGACAATATTTAGAAGTGATAGGTGAGCAACATTTAGACAAAAGTTTAAACTACAGTAGAATTAAAGTATACCTGGGTATGTGGCGTTGCGGTGTAAGTACATTTCTTCACAATGAATGTCTTTACACACAAACATTTTGTCAAGCTGTATCAAGCTCCCTTAAATATGGAACTGAAATTCACCATTTTCAAAGGTACTAGTATTTGCGAATTTCATCAGTGTCTCATCTAAACTTGTGACATTCTGCTTCTCATGATCTTGATCGGTTTTTGGTCGGACGGCTATATAAACAGTCATTTGTCGTGACAATTCGCAAAACCAAAGTATACCTTCGTCTTGCCAACTCGTTTTTGCAACCATTTTAGAAAAGTACCCTTCAACCAAATTATTTGTAACGTGAATATTGAGCGTCGATGTGAAGAAAAGTCTGATTTCCTTGACATTACTTTCCTTATCTGATGTTGAACAATTTTGAATTAAGTTCATGAAATGCTTGATGCTTGGAACAAGATTTGTGTCGAAAGATTTCCTTATGCTCCAAAATACTGTCCATACATCATCTTTGGACAAATCGCATAATGATATGACACCAAGTGGTTTTGAAAGACAATGGTTATGAACAAAATTAGCCTTATTTTCTACAGTGGAACAGTTAAGATGCAACCACTGTTTCAAAACAGGAGCCATTTGGACCTGAAAGCACCTTTGAGCATTTTCATACCATAAAGAACCGTTTTTGGAAATATTCTTTTTCGTTTCTGACGCGATGTTACAAAAGTGAGAACCTAATTCCATCAGTTCTTTGTAATCTCTACCACGACAAGAATATTTAAAATTTAAACAGGTGCGAAACCAGATGCAATTATATCCTGTAGGAGTGTGACATCCTCCAGGTATAGGTGAAGGTGTAGTAGAGGTAATCCCTTGGTATTTTGTTACATGTTGTCCAAGTGTACATGCACAGTCGTTGTAAACATGTCCTTTATCCATATCATGTAATTCAACCATACATTGATACCAACAATATGTTGGTCTTATGCCGTAAAGGGTTTCTTCACAGATATATCGGTAATTCGTTTTCATCCTAACATATGAATTTGTTAGGCATGTTGCATACTGCGGCTTATCGTACTGTTTGGACGGTAAACAGTCGTAAACCCCGCTTGGACCATAATCTGGATTACAGTCTCGAAAACCCAAAACAAGGGTTATCAAACCTAACACAAAAATTGTTATGCCCATTTTTCGCACTGTAGCCACGTCTTTTTATCCTGTCACAACAGATGTGAACATCTAACACAGATTTTAAATTCTTTTGTTGCAAACAAATGAAAAAAGGGGTACCGTAAAGGATTCTTTAGGGAAAACAATCATAATTTACGAATAGAATCTGGTTAGATAATATTCTCAAATATACACTATTAAAGTATTGTTCAAATGTAATGAGGAACGTCTTATCTTGATAAACATGCTATCATGTTATTTAATATATTATGTAACTTCTAATTCATTTACTTACTCTTCCTGTGTGATGAAATGATCCTTCACTTAACATTGTTATATTGAATTCATATATGTATTGTTATATTGTATTCATATGTATATTGTATTCATGTATGTATCTTTAACTTGCAGTGAGGTGGGATTTTTTTTTGCTCCGTGTTGAAAGCTTCACTGTGACTTTGAAATGAAGAACAGCAATAAAAGCAGACAATTCAAAAAAACAAAATAACAGAAATAAAATAACAAAATAAAAATATGAGAGAATACAAAATGTACGAATTCAAGAATAACTTCATTTAAATTACACCAATGCCTTACTATAGCTAAGTATTTTAATATCTGTTTAAACATGCATTGATACAGCTTTTTTACATTTAAACGAAATTTGTATTCTGTCTTGAGGTTTAACATTTCTTAAGTTCAATTCCTAAGTAAATAATGGCATCATAGATACCAGGAACACAGTTGTGTACGCTAAACTCATCAGTAGCACTCGTATCAAAACAGTTTAAAAAATATTTTTAAAATTAATGTCAAATAATATGTATAATAAAGGCATTATAGTTTATATATTGCAAAACAAATGTCGTTTAAAATAATAACATACGAGCTCAAAACCCTTAATTATGTAAAATAAACCATGATTTCAGAGTATTTTTTTTAATTGGTGTCAAATGATATACATAATAAAGGCATTATAGTTCATATATAAGAAAACAAATGTTTTTTAAAATAATTAGATATGAGCCCAAAACCAGAACTATTTAAAATAAACCATACTATCATAAACTAATATTTGTCCTATCAGCCTTTTTTTATAGTAAATTCAACGCACTGAACTCAAACAATTTGATGAAACTTCTAAGAAAAGGGTTTATTTATAAATGTATTCAAAGTTTTGATAATTTTTACAATCTAGCTATGCGATTTTAGTTCTACTTATTGTTTCAATATCCCTTAAATTACTAGTAGAACCCACTATAAATCAGAAAAAAATGCGATAGTTTTATTTTTATTTTTCCGAAAATTGGGACATGATACATTTTGCCACAAATATAAGCCCTTTAGATATCTTGTTTGGTTGTTGGTGTCACTGGGTTTCTATCTAATATATGGCACTCATCTCTATTTATATTTTAATAAATGTAAACACAATTTAATGTATTAACAGCTTGAGACGTATTATTTCACCATTGATTCGTATGAACAATTATCATAAGCAGGAAAAAAATGGAATATAAGTGAGGTAGTTTTACATAAAAGAAATGATACGTTGCAGAAATAATGTGGTTTTCGCATGTAACGATAAAGTGTGTGAAAAAAAAGCCGTATAATAAGTTTAATTTAAATACTCATTTCACTCAAAAAAGACTTAAAACTACATGAACAGATAAAGAAAAAAAAGGATACAGACAGTAAGTGATAACTGTATATTTAGTTTGTTTGTTTGAAAAAGAAAGGCGAAATATTCCAAGGGAATATTCACACTCATAAGTCGAAAACAAACTGACAGTGACATGGCAAGAAAAGGAATAATCAAAAGACAAACAACAGTATACAAAACACAACACAGAAACTTAAGGATGTTCGCTCCTCTTGTTTTTGATTTCTTGCCAGATATTCGGAATCCTCTGGATTTATCCATGTAGTGCCATTAAAAATGTATGACCGCTAACCCCTACTTTTCTTTACATAATTTTGTTACATAAAGTTTAAAAAGCCATATTTGAAAATCTTATAAAATCCTTGTTATTTTTTCATTGTTTTTGAACGAAAAAAGGTGCCAATGTTAAATTTATGAAAAATCTAGAGAGAATCATTTCCCGCCAAATTTTCACTGGCATATATCTCGAACACAAGCACACGGACCGTTCATTTTTTTCTCCTTTTTTAATTCCTTCATTTATAGACTTATCAATTTATAACAGTCTTTTAAAACGCTTGTTATTTTGAATTAGAGTAGCGAACATCCTTAATACTGGGCATCACGAACCCAATTAAAACCGTCGTGATATCAGGTTATCTGGAAGGGTAAGCAGATGCTTGACGAGCATAGTTTCTTTTATTTCTGCTCGAGATAGATCTTTTTGTAGACCTTGTATTGCTGGTCATTTTGCTAGTCACAATTTCTGTCGCTTATACATTTTTCGACTATATTAAACAAATAAACTATCTTCTGCAATATCATACATTGACAAACATTCTTAATGTTAACATCAATTTATGAACTTTTTAACCAAATTTAGAATTAAACAATTTATTTACTCAACACACATGCCTTAACAAAACAAATCGTTTTATCACAGCTGTGTGTTACAATATCATTTCGATTAACAAATAATTGAATAACAAAACAACTTAACTTCAAGCTTTTTAATACTTACAAAAAAAATGGTTTGGTTCATGATTTATAGTGTGGCACAATTATATAAACGCGTATCAATGATATGATAGATTTTCTTCATTAATCTATCTTCTTATGTACAGTATAAGAATTAATAAGGCATATACATATTATTGTAAAGTTAACTAATTATAGAACTTTTAACATATAATGGTTATTAGATTTAACAAAATAAATTCGACATATCTAAATGAAAGGTAGAGCTAGACCAAGATGTATGCGTTCGACTGATCCAAAACGATTTAACTACTTTGTATCTTCTATTATCTTATATTAACATTATTCTTATGTTATGGAAACCTGGTGTTTTCTTCTGCACAGTAATTATCGAATGCTACTTATTGACACACTTCTAATTTCAATGAGTAAAAGGACGGAATCCATTTTAAAAAAGAAACATATGGATTCCTATCTCGTTTTTTAGCTGTAAGTGAATCTCTTTTTTTTCTTTGGTTATTATTGTGAATTGTTGTTTGTCTTTTCGTGATGTTTCTTTTTTGCCATTGCTATGTCTGGTTTTCTTCGACGTATGGTTTTTATTGTCCCCTTGGTGTCTTCTACATCTTTAAATACCAATGATCGGCATAACAAGAGTGATACATAGTCTAGTGCTGTCAATTATGTTGAATCAGTTTTTTTGTTATTTAAGGAATTGAAAGAATTTATACATCTGTTCGCTGGCTGCGAGCAAACTGTTCTGTAAATTTTTTCACCAAGTAGTAATACAGCTGATGTCGTATGTAAAAGAAAACGGATATGGTTTTATTGAGAGATCGTTTTACTCAAAAGTTTGTTCAAATGTACTGGCTTTTGTTGTTGTTAATCTCTTTTGTTTAAACATATGTTTAACGCTTACAAAATGCTATTAATCAATTGTGTTGATCTGTGTCGTAAATATGGGACAAAAGACTTTAAAAAGTAATGTTGTATAATTAGTCCCCGGATTTTTGCGCACGCTATTCTAATGAAACGTAAAGCTATTGTTACGTATCTACGAATCTTTAAAATCAACAAGCATCTCATCTAGCAAGACGTTATTTTCTTTAAAAAGGTCTAACAAGTTAATAACCCTCAGAATATTGGTGCAGTTACGAAAACTTCAAACAGTCCGAGCAGCACATCAGCGAGCAGTGATAAAGCTACTGACGAAAGAAGACCCGACAGAAGGATCACAAAAAGATATTGTAAAACTACAATCCATGATGAAGCTAATTGAAACGAAACAAAAGACATTGTCCGATCTTCATGAGACGATTATGGAGATTATTGAAGAAGAAGAAGACATCGACAAAG